TATAATTTTTAAAATCGACATTAACATAATAAAACCCGAGTAGAACTTGAGTAGGGCAACACGGTGGCGCAACTGGTAGAGCTGCTGCCTCTCAGCGAGCAGGTCCCTGGTTCAAATCCCGGTCCGAGGGCCTTTCTGGGTGGAGTTTGCATGTTCTCTCCGTGCATGCGTGGGTTTTCTCCTGGTACTCCGGTTTCCTCCCACAGACCAAAAACATGCATGTTAGGCTGATTGGTATCTCTAAATTGTCCCTAGGTGTGAGTGAGAGAGTGAATGGTTGTTTGTCTCGTTTGTCTGTCTCTATGTGGCCCTGTGATGGACTTGCGACCCGTCCAGGGTGTACCCCGCCCCTCGCACAGTGATTGCTGGACATGGGCACCGGCGACCCCCGTGACCCAAAATGGAATAAGCGGGTAAAGAAAATGGATGGATGGATATATATATATATATAAACCTTGAACATTCATTGTACTGTCCATCCATCCATTATTTTTACCCACTTCTTCCTTTTTGGGTCGCGGGGGTTGCCGGTGCTCATGTCCAGCAATCACTGTGCGAGAGGCGAGGGACACCCTGGACAGGTCGCAAGTCCATCAAAGGGCCACATAGAGACAACCATTCACTCTCTCACTCACACCTAAGGCCAATTTAGAGTTACCAATCAGCCTAACATGCATGTTTTTGGTTTGTGGGAGTAAACTGGAGTATCCAGAGAAAACCCACACATGCACTGAGAGAACATGCAAACTCCACCCAGAAAGGCCCCTGCTCCACCAACTATGCCACTGTGATGCCTCATTGTATTGTAAATAGACAAAATGTAATGTTGCACCACCAACGCAGGTCAGTGAATTTTGGATTGGTGGATAGATCAGTGACTTCAGTCCAATATCTGATTCAAGAATGAGGCCTGTCTCAAAGATTGATACAAATACTGGATTAGAATGATCCCAGTCATTGCTGGAATGCATTACAAGTAACTCAGCTGGATCACACACAAAAATAATTTACACATAAAAGCAGAGTAAATTCTACAAATCTGTTTATTTAGTTTATTAGAATGAATGCACACAAAAGTATAGACCCAAAGAATTATGCTGCTCATCTCATCTGATCAAGGCTATGTACCTTTCTATCAACACAGAACTTGTTTGCAAAAAATTACATAAAAAGTGACTTTATTTTTGTTTTCAAATTTGTGAAAGTAAGAGATATACATAAACAGAAAGTGTTAAAGTGAATATAGATACAGTTGACTGGTAAACTTGAAAAATGACAATTAAAAAAACGGTTTAAAAAAACTGATGCTATTTCATTTTTGTTGTAGATGTCACCAACTTTCAGCAAATAAATTGTGTGTTAAATGAACAAATAAGTACTCACAGCACTTCAGAAAATTTCCAAACAGTGATTGTCTTTGCAATTACAATATTTACAATATTGTTATCTTTAGAATGTATTATAAAGGGCCAGCTCTATGTTGCAAAAATATGCCTCTGCACTGATTACATGTCATCAAATCATAGAAATAACATGATTCCATAGTTGATAAAATAGTAACAGTTTATGTGTGTTTAAATGTATAAAAACATTTTCCTTCAAAATATCTATTGAAGTGTATGCTCTGTGCAATAAATCCCCAAATACAAATATACACCAGTTCAATAAAAACATTCATTAAAAAATGAAACTGGATGCAGGAACATAATTTGTTATGTAGGATTGTTGATAATTTGTGAGACGCATGTGTTCAATAAATCTTGACTATGTACAAAATCAGTATTTATTATTAAAGTACAAATTAATCTTATTTACAGTTTGAATTGATTTTCAACAATCTCATGCACTCCTAAATAATTATTCTTAAAAAATTATTCATATGTAACAAGATAGAGATGGCTGTAGATGTCATCTTCAATTTTAAAGAACCAAAAATTTTGAAAGTTTACTTTATTAGGATTTGAGTGCATAAAGGACAGCTTAATGTACCTCACTCACTTTTTGGGTGAAGCTGAAAGCTCAAATTTTGGGAACCTCAAACCACTTTTTGAACCACTGTCACTGCTTGAGGATGAAGACAATCTCGATTTTTTCGAAGGCACAGAAACATCTGCGCTCCCTTCCATCCCTGCTTCACTGTCACTTCCAAGTGTCACTTCATATGAGCCCTTAGACTTAGAACCAAAACCTCCAAATGTGCCAAACTTTAATTTGCCTTTCTTACCCTTGACCTGGCTTCCTCCTAAGTCTAATGAAATGTCACCACCCTCAGCTTCTAAGTGAGTTGAAGGAGAACTAACTGCAAGAGATCCCTCATCACTCAGAGACGGAGATTGGTGTTTTGATTTTTTAAATAGGTCCAGCGAAGCTGACTTGCCTTTAGTTGATACACTGACTACGGGATCACCTTCCAATTTGAATGTTCCACCAGTCAGTTCACCAGAATGTACTTTAGAGGTTTTACCCTCTTTCCCACTTGAGCCTAATACTACCTCTGATTCATAAAGGTCACCTGTACTACTTCCCTTAGCTTTTGATTTGCCAAACAATTTTGGCATCTTTACCTTTACTTTGCCTTCACTCTGCTTCAGTTCTGGACTGGGAATCTCAATATTTTGTGAACTGACTTGACAGCTTACAGATGGAGACTCTACATGCATGCCTACGCCAGTTGCAAGTTCTGGTTTAGTTTTCCTTTCATCTTTTTGGTCTTCCACCTTAGGCAATGCAATACCAAATTTTGGTACTTTGAATTTGGAAAATGTTATTGTACCTTCTGGATATTGAAAACCACCAGTTCCACTTCCTGAAACACTTGCACTTTCTGAACTACCTTTTGCACTTACAGTTGGCATGAAAATATTTTGAGTGTTTACTTTAATATCTTGCCCTTCCAAACAAACATTTGCAATGTCAGTGCCAGAACCATCATTGGCAGTGTTCAAGCTAACAGCTGGTAAATCTGCATCAGCTGATTTAAGACCCTCAGATAAAGATCCATCACCTTTCACTTTTGGTGATTTAATGTCTAATTCTACATCAGGGAAATGGAGCTTGCCAAATAAAGACTTCTTTGTCTTTGCTTCTTTAAAATGAAGATTAGTTGTGTCATCACCCACATCTACTTGTGTTGTTTCAATATCAGCTTCTAATTTTTTTGCCTTTCCTTTCACTTTAGGGAGTTTAAATTTTCCCTTTTTCCCCTTTACATTAATATCTATATCAGGAGCGTCAAGACTTGCTTCAGTGCCTGAAAAACTAACTTCGGTTTTGGAATCTTTGGCTCCCGCACTGAAAATGGGTGTCTTAGGGGACTGAATTCTCACGGATTCTGACCCCTCAATTTCTAGAGATTTCATTGCAAATTTAGGACCTTTGAACTTTGGAAATGTAATAGCAGTTGTTTTTTGATCAGTACAAATGCTAGCACTTGCACCATTTATATCTTTTTGAAAATTGGGAATGAATGCATCTATGCTTTCTTTGTCAGTTCCTGATGCTTTGATATTAATTTCACAAGATTTCATGTCAGTCTCAGCTTTAGGAAGATTGACATCAACTTCTGGCCCTGATGGCAATTTCATTTTAGGTCCTTCAAAATCAATCTTTGGACTTTTTATGTCAACTTGGGGTGTTGTTATTTTTCCTTTGGCTTTTGAAACATCCACATCACTTTCAAGTTTGGGGCCTTTCAGATTAATGTCCAAATCTGGAAAAGTTTTACCTGATATTGTTGGCATTTTTATTTTGGATCCTGTAAGTTTTGCATCAGGACCTTCAACGTTAATTTCAGGCCCTTTAATGTCAACTTTGGGTGATACTGTGTCAAGATTAGCCTTTGGAAAGCTTATAGTCACATCTGAACTTTCCACCTTTGAATCTCTGATGTCAACTGATGGCATTTTGATTTTGGGCATTTTGAATCCACCTGTGGATCCTTCAATATCAACCTCTGGTCCTTTGATGTCAGTGTCAGGTGTTGAACTTTTTCCTCCAGTCTTTGGAACTGAAATGTCTCCTTCAAATTTGGGACCTTTTAGATTTAGATCAAAATCTGGCATGGAGATTTGAGGTCCTGATATCTTTGGCATTTTAAAGTGTGGTCCTTTAACTTTAACGCCAGGACTATCAAAATCAACATCTGCACCATCTGCTTTTGGAAGATTGATGTGAACATTTGGACCTGTTGCTCCTTCGGTCTTGATTTCTGGAGTTTTTAATTCACCTTCAATTTTTGGAACTGACAATTCCATATCACCTTTAAATTTGGGACCTTTCAAATTAAGATCCATATCTGGCATAGACATTTTTGGTCCTGTAATGCCTGGCACTTTCAGTTTTGGTCCCTTTAGGCTTCCACTTGAACTCTCAATGTTAACTTCTGAACCTCCTATTTTGATGTCAGGTGTTTTTATTTCACCACCAGATTTTGGAAGATTAATATCAACTTCATGCATGTCAACTTTTGGACTTTTGAAGCCAAATTTTGGCATTTTAAATTTGGATCCTTTTGTTTTTGGCCCAGATACTCCTAAATCCAAGTCCATTTGCTCACAGCTACCAGACAATCCTTCAATGTTTAAGTCTCCATGGTCCAATTTCACATCAGTTTCTGAGCCTTTGACCTTGGAACCCTTAAATCCAACTTTAGGCATTTTAAATTTGGTTTTCTTTGGACTCGTTTCTTTAACATCAATTTTCACATCTGGTCCCTCAAGTTCACCTTTAGGATAGTTAGTGTTTACATCTGCACTTGGCAAGGTTGCGCTTTTGAATCCAAATGGCATTTTGATTTTAGGGATTTCAAGTACACCTTTGGGCCTATCAATGTCAATCTCTGAAGATTTGATATCAACATCAGGTGCTTTAATATCTCCTGAGATTTTTGGAATTGTAACATCCATATTTCCTTCAAGTTTGGGACCTTTTAGATTAATGTCAAAGTCTGGGCTTTCTAAATTTGGTCCTTTAATGTTCAGTGGTGGCATTTTGATTTTAGGCATTTCAAATCCACCCTTTGGTGCTTCAATGTCAATCTTTGGAGATTTGATGTCAATGTCAGGTGTTTTAATTTCTCCCTTTATCTTTGGAGCATTGATGTCCACATCACCTTTCAGTTTGGGGCCTTTTAAGTTGAAATCCACATCTGGCATGGAAATTTTGGGTCCTGAAATCGATGGCATGTGGAATTTGGGTCCTTTGAGCTTTGCATCAGGTCCCTCAATATCAACATCTGGTCCTTTTATGTCAATGTCAGGTGCGTTTACATCAATGTCTGCTTTTGGCAAGTTGATGTCAACATCTGGACCTTCTACTTTTGGACCTTTCAATCCAAATGATGGCATCTTGAATTTAGGCATTTTAATCCCACCTTTGTGGCCTTCAATGTCAATGTCTGGGCCTTCAATGTCAACATCAGGTGTTGTTATTTCTCCTTTGACCTTTGGTATTTTAAAACCCACATCACCTTCAAGCTTGGGGCCTTTTAGGTTAATGTCAAAATCTGGGCCCTCTAATTTTGGACTTTTGATGTTCAGTGATGGCATTTTCATTTTAGGCATTTCAAATCCACCCTTTGGCCCTTCAATGTCAATCTTTGGAGC